TGTTAACTAACTATTAAAACTAAAAAAAAAAACCATCAAACCTTAAGCAAAGAAAATAATACAATATCAAGAAGCTGAAAGAAAATGATGCAATAACACATTACTTTCCTACTTAAATAAATCTACGAGAAGCAAAACCTTGAAAGCAAATATGTAAAATCACATCCAACTCATAAGGAAACACAAGAAAATTTTGATGTGGAAAAACCTCTTAAATGCGAAGAGAGCAAAAAATCACAAGAATCTAACAATTTACTTAAATCTAATATAATCAAAAGAGTTCACAGCAACCACAATCTACCAAAAATATTCCATACAAATTTAAAGTCCAATCACAATTCTAACACAAGTAAAATAAATAAATGTTTATAAAGAAATAAATTAAAATCACCAGAAGCAGTCAAACTTTAAGCTTATAACTCCAAATCCAACTATTAAAATCAAAATTCAACCATCGAGATTAAAAATTTAGCAAAACTTTGTCTCATTTACTCACCAACCAAACATACTACAAAAAATATACTTAAATAAAAAAATTAGAATTTAGAGCAATATTACTAAACGAAAAGGAGGTAAAAAAACCATAAAAGTTTGCCTCATTTTCTCATCAATCTAACCGACTAAAAACACCTTAATAAATTAAAATAAACAAACCATAGTATTCAGAGCAAAGTACAAAACAAAAAAACTGTCAAAAAAATGAAGAAAACTTAGCTATCATTTTCTCATCAAGCTAACATACTAAAAATAGCTTAATAAAATAAAAACTATAGAATTTAGATAAAATTACGAAAGATAAAGACAGTAAAAAAAAAAAATAATAATGAACAAAACTTTGTCTCATTTTCTCATCAAGGAAACACAGTTAAACGAAAAATAACTAAAAATTCAGAGCACAAAAATAAAATAAAATAACACATTAAAAGAAAAAAGTGAAAAAATCAACCTCATTTTCTTGGCAACCAAACATGCAAGAAACAATTGAAAAGAGTGAATACCTTCAAATTTAGAGGTTGAAGTTGAAGAGAAGAGCGAGCGTGAGTTTGTTTTCAAAGGTTAAGTCTTGTATAGTTGCAAAAAATTGACAATTATTGGTTCTGAAATAATGATTCATTCTTTCAATTATCTGTATAAGTTTTTGTCTTTTTTTTAATTTCAGAAAATTGGTAAAGGTCATTTGCAGAAGTGGGTTTTGATTAATATTATAAAGTTTACTCTTGATGATAATCTGTAAAACTTCAAAAGAATTCTTGTCAAAATTGAATGTTTTTACTAAATTTCAAAGGACATCATTGCTAGGAATGAGTACTTAAATTGTTTCTGCAAAAGCTTCTGAGTTAAGAGGAAGAGATGGTGTATTGCAGAGGCATTTTTGCATCATTAAAGTTGCGGTGGTTTTTGTTGCATAAAATATGGTAGTGAAAAATGAAAATGCCCTCTGTTCTTGGATTCTTCACACGCATTATTTGGTTATCCCATAAAATTAAAAGTAAAAATTTTTAAATTTTTATTTACTCATTTGAGGGTAGGCCCAGGCCTACCCTCAAATGGCCTGGGTCCGCCCCTGGCGAGAGCTGAATGCCCTTCATGTTACCTCACGAACTTCCTTTTGTAATCTCATTCGATCCTGTAACACGCCCCAATAATAATATAACAGTAGATGTATATTTGGTTTCTATACCGTCGAATCACTATAAATTTTTTTTTATTCTTTATTTTATTATGTCATTTTTATCGATCTTGTTAATTATCAATAACTATGTGTATATTTTACCGAGCCCCTTCGGATTGCATCTAACGCAATATATTAAAAATTGTGTTCTTTTAATATTATTAACGTATGTCTTTTAACACACACCATAAGATAATTCTTGTTAAATTTTAGGAAAGATTAAAAACAATAGAAAGGATAAAATTATAAAAGGAAAGGACGGTAGTTTTAAAAAATGTCCAAACTCATCACGCGCCTAACAAGTTTTGAAACTCCCTTTACAAATCTTTTTTATATTTAATTCTTGTNTTTTTTAATATTGTCAAAAAACATAAAATGAATTCTTGATTGGCCCCAACCTCTTTAGAGTTTTGTTGATATTTTTTATACGGATTAAATGACACAAAATTTTGCGTTTCAATATGTTGTGCCTAATTTCTTGGCGGTTAGATTTATGACACGCATCCTCAAGGTGTGTCGAAAGCTGATAGTGTGGATCCTCCCACATGTCATCTCATCGGCACTTAACTCCTCCCACAAGGTAATTGACTGTTGATAGTATGAGTTAAGCTACCATTAGCATTGCCCGGCTTGTCACCATGGAGATTAATGACTCAAATCCTAATTAAGGGGATTATGCGTGCAAACCATCTCGTAATACCTACCCTTAACTATTCTCAGATGAGACAAATATAAAAAAAGCCCACAGCCTTTGTTCCAAGAAATTTCAGTATTAGTAAAGTCTAAGGAAAAAATACACTAATTTGTTTTAGAGAGTGTTTAAAAAGAATAGGTTGCGAGAGCCAGTGGCGGACCTAGGATTTATGTTGAGGGGGGGCCTCCGCGGCTCCACCGTTGTTTGTTAACTAACTATTGAAAACTTAAAAAAAAAAACCATCAAACCTTAAGCAAAGAAAATAATACAATATCAAGAAGCTGAAAGAAAATGATGCAATAACACATTACTTTCCTACTTAAATAAATCTACGAGAAGCAAAACCTTGAAAGCAAATATGTAAAATCACATCCAACTCATAAGGAAACACAAGAAAATTTTGATGTGGAAAAACCTCTTAAATGCGAAGAGAGCAAAAAATCACAAGAATCTAACAATTTACTTAAATCTAATATAATCAAAAGAGTTCACAGCAACCACAATCTACCAAAACTATCATACAAATTAAAGTCCAATCACATTCTAACACAAGTAAAATATATAAATGTTTATAAAGAAATAAATTAAAATCACCAGAAGCAGTCAAACTTTAAGCTATAACTCCAAATCCAACTATAAAATCAAAATTCAAGCATCGAGATTAAAAATTTAGCAAAACTTTGTCTCATTACTCACCACCAAACATACTACAAAAATATACTTAAATAAAAAAATTAGAATTTAGAGCAATATTACTAAACGAAAAGGAGGTAAAAAAACCATAAAGTTTGCTCATTTCTCATCAATCTAACCGACTAAAAACACCTTAATAAATTAAAATAAACAAACCATAGTATTCAGAGCAAAGTACAAAACAAAAAAACTGTCAAAAAAATGAAGAAAACTTAGCTATCATTTTCTCATCAGCTAACATACAAAAATAGCTTAATAAAATAAAAACTATAGAATTTAGATAAAATTACGAGAAGATAAAGACAGTAAAAAAAAAATAATAATGAACAAAACTTTGTCTCATTTTCTCATCAAGGAAACACAGTTAAACGAAAAATAACTAAAAAATCAGAGCACCAAAAATAAAATAAATAAAACATTAAAAGAAAAAGTGAAAAAAAACAACTCATTTTCTTGGAACCAAACATGCAAGAAACATTGAAAGAGTGAATACCTTCAAATTTAGAGGTGAAGTTGAAGAGAAGAGCGAGCGTGAGTTTGTGTTCAAAGGTTAGGTCTTGTATAGTTGCACAAAATTGACAATTATTGGTTCTGAAATAATGATTATTCTTTAATTATCTGTATAAGTTTTTGTCTTTTTTTTAATTTCAGAAAATTGGTAAAGGTCATTGCAGAAGTGGGTTTGATTAATATTATAAAGTTTACTCTTGATGATAATCTGTAAAACTTCAAAAGATCTTGTCAAAATTGAATGTTTTACTAAAATTCAAAGGAAATCATGCTAGGAATGAGTACTTAAATTGTTTCTGCAAAGCTTCTGAGTTAAGAGGAAGAGATGGTGTATTACAGAGGCATTTTTGCATCATTAAAGTTGCGGTGGTTTTTGTTGCATAAAATATGGTAGTGAAAAATGAAAATGCCCTCTGTTCTTGGATTCTTCACACGCATTATTTGGTTATCCCATAAAATTAAAAGTAAAAATTTTTAAATTTTTATTTACTCATTTGAGGGTAGGCCCAGGCCTACCCTCAAATGGCCTGGGTCCGCCCCTGGCGAGAGCTGAATGCCCTTCATGTTACCTCACGAACTTCCTTTTGTAATCTCATTCGATCCTGTAACACGCCCCAATAATAATATAACAGTAGATGTATATTTGGTTTCTATACCGTCGAATCACTATAAATTTTTTTTTATTCTTTATTTTATTATGTCATTTTTATCGATCTTGTTAATTATCAATAACTATGTGTATATTTTACCGAGCCCCTTCGGATTGCATCTAACGCAATATATTAAAAATTGTGTTCTTTTAATATTATTAACGTATGTCTTTTAACACACACCATAAGATAATTCTTGTTAAATTTTAGGAAAGATTAAAAACAATAGAAAGGATAAAATTATAAAAGGAAAGGACGGTAGTTTTAAAAAATGTCCAAACTCATCACGCGCCTAACAAGTTTTGAAACTCCCTTTACAAATCTTTTTTATATTTAATTCTTGTAATTTGGAGTAGTAAGTCAAAAGATTTACGTGATTAAATATTTAAATGTAATAAAACTGGTTTGCAATAATTAAAGTGAAAAATAAATTTGATAAGACTACACTAATCCAATATTATTAATAATAATATTCGTGATTGATTGATTGATTGAGGATGAGATGACCCATTTTACTTCAAGCGGAGATAAAATCAAAGTTTCCACTTTGTCATCATTGCCACTGTTCCAAACTCTGGCTTTAATCATCATTCATACCACCTCCCAAAAAAAAATAAATAAATAAATAAAAATTATCGGCAATTCATCGGGTTGGAATGTTGAAAACATCGCCGACCACCAATTAAGTAGAGTACCCCACCAAGATTTCGCCAAGGAACATTTGACTGCGGTCCAATGGGATGACGTGGCCAGATCAGAACGGGGTACTGTAACCTGTTATGTTAATTGTTAAGCACAGTTGAAGTAGTGGATCCAATTGAAAATATGAAGTTGGTCACACTCAAACTGAAACTTGGACTGAGATGTCTTGATTAATTGTTGGAAGCTTAGCTTAAAATAAAGCCTTTCTCTTTCCCTATATTTCTTTGTCTTTTGGTTTGCAGTTGTAGGGAGAGGACGATTCCATAGAGTTGTAGAGAAAGATCTACTCGAATGGATTATGAAAGGATACACAAAGTTCAGGTCATTCTCAAACCAACCTTTTTTCTTTTTTCTTTTTTTTTTGGTTAAAAAAAAAAAAAAAAACTTAATGGTGCTTTTGGCTTGTGGGGTTCTGTCTAATTTTTGGGTTCATTCTCTCTTTGAAATGGGTTCATGTAAACAAATAGAGTTGCAGTTTTGTTTTATGATTCTGTTTTGATCTGGGTTGTGCATTATTATTATTATTATTATTATTATTATTATTGTTATTATTTGTTATTTTCTTGAGATGAGAATGTCCAATTTGGAGTTTCTCTTGTCCAATTTGGAGTTTCTCTTTGTAGTTGATAAAGTGTGTTTTTTTTTTTTCTTCTTATTTTTTTTTCGTTTTTTGAGTTTCTCTAAAGTTGATTGTGAGGAGAATTCATGATTTTTTTTTTTGTAATAATTGAATACGTTGTTAAGTTTGGTGGTTTCTTGTTTATAAGTTGTGTGTTTGAATGGGTATTTTGTGGTTCGATGAATTGCAGACTGGCATAATTTCTCCAAGTAAGCTGAGGATGAAGCTGATGGGGCCTCATCACAATAGAAAGAAGGATGGATCAAACAGTAACTCTGCAAGAACTTCTCCTTCCAAGCTTGAGGATTCTGAGTTCGTCAGAAACAGCTTATTAGCCGCCAAGAATGGAGATTTTGATGATGAAGGTTTATTTCTTATCTTGTTTAGAATAAACCCATTTTTAGGCTTTCATTTCGCAACTGAGTTTGTGTTGGTGAATTTGTATATATGCTTTAAACTTTATTGTAAAATAAACAAAAAAAGCTTCTTCTAACTTAGCTATATATATATAGAGTTATTTTGTGGTTGTTGTATGAGCTCAATGGTTGGTGGGATTTGGTGCACTAAAATAAAGCAATTGAATCAACCCGTATATTGATTTAGACATTTGCCCTGCAGTTGCAGCTCCAAGCTTACAAATCGCCAGTGAGGTAGTTTTGGACCACAACCTAGGTGATCAAGCTTCTTGCCAGCCAAGGGAAAACACTGATGTTGGTCCAGTCAAAATGCAGCAATTCTCAAAGGGTGATAGTGGTAATTCGAGTGCAATTCACCCAATGAGAATGCTTGAAGATGATAATCTAGATTATGACAGTAATGCTAGTTCATCTAGCTTTGAGTTTCATAAAGGGGAGAGATCAGGACACAATCCCATTGTGAGATCATTTTTGAGACCTATGCCATCTAAGTGGAATGATGCTGAGAAATGGATAATGAATAGACAAATTGTGCAAACTAACTATTCTAAGAAGAATACTTTCCACAACCAAGCTTATAGGTTACCAGTGACGAACATTGTAAAAGTTGCTCCAGAATATGCAACTTATGATCATAAACCATCAATTACCAGGGCAGCTGACACGAAGCGAGTAGATTTTTGCCAACCTGCATCACAAATTGCTTTTGAGAAGTTCGCTTTTGCTCCCCCTGGGACGCATCAAGGATTCAGAGGTAATGCATTGATTGATACGTGTCCTCAAAGTAAGGATTTGACGGAAGTGGGTCAGGGCGAGTTATCTTCTGCAAAAGGTGCAGCAGAAGATGCATCAGGTAAAAAAGTTGACTTCATTTTCATTTAGTTTGTTCATAGAACCCAAAATCAGGAACTTGATTGTTTTAGTAGTTTTTGGATAAAATTAAGAGACCTATTCCGATATGCATATGTTTTGTTTAATTTCAAATTTGAAATGCACTTTATCTCTATGCTTTGTTAAAATTTGTCAAGAAAGGCTACATTTACTATCTAATAGCTTTACATCTAAACTGATGATAGTTTACTCTGTCAATGTGTTTGGATAATGTACTTGTACATGATAACATTTACGGGTAGCATAACTCAAGGGAGAGAATCAAGTAACCGAAACCCCACCATAAGGCTCTGTCTATTGTCCAAATGGATGATATAGTTTGGAACGGGTGGCCCTGTATGACGATCTCGATTAACTTTTTTTATTTTAGTTCTTTTTCATTATTTTGGTGGGGCGTGGTGAGATTGGTTCTACATACCTTTGTTCACCTTTTTCTGTTTTAAATTCTCCCAGAGACCAACAAGGATTGGTCTAATGTTGCCATGAAAATTTAGCATTATATCAATGTAATTTTCATGATATTTGATTTTTTTCCTATATGAGCTTCAACTAATTGTGTTCTAATCATTTCAAAAACTCTCTGCTTCTGTAGATATAATTTTAACCATATAGGGAGAATTAAGTATCAAGTTTCAATTGGTCTTTTGTTATTGAAGTCTAACAAAATATTGTGTGCTTTAAGAAGTCAAATTATATTTTCTTCTACAAATTGCCATTCCCAATACCATGCACCATAAGTTATCTTGTGTGAGTCTTTATTGTCTATATATTGTGCAAGTTCTGTCATTAATTTTGTGAACTTATGATTTAAATGCGCAGTTGTTCCTGCCATAAGATCAGTGTGTATGAGAGATATGGGAACAGAAATGACTCCCATGACAAGTCAAGAGCCTTCAAGGACTGCGACCCCTGTAGGGGCAACAACTCCACTCCGTAGCCCGACTTCTTCAATTCCATCTACTCCTAGGGGAGTAGCACCGGTATCCACACCTGTGGAGCACAACACAGATGATGAATCACGACGCCCCATGGAAAATGGCAAAAGAGAATTGTCTGAGCAAGAAATTAAGGAAAAGACAAGAAGAGAGATTGTTGCTCTTGGTGTCCAGCTTGGAAAGATGAATATTGCTGCTTGGGCTAGTCAAGATGAGCAGGAAAAGAATACTTCTTCAGTCAAAACAACTGATATGGAGGAGCTCGAGCGAATTGAATTTGAAAAACGTGCAGCCGCATGGGAAGAAGTTGAAAAATCTAAGCACACAGCAAGGTTCACTCTTCTCAGCTTAATTAATAAATTCAAAGCAGTAGTTACTTTCAAGTGACCAGCATCTAGATTTATTTTCTCTTGTAATTCCCACTTCAATTTGACAGAAGCATTTTGTTTTTCTTTCTGCAGATTTAAACGTGAAGAAATCAAAATCCAAGCATGGGAAAGCCAGCAGAAAGCAAAACTAGAAGCAGAGATGCAAAGAATAGAGGTTAGTTAAAATTCTTTTTCAACTCGCCGTATCAGGTCAAGAGAGAGAACTTTATTGGCTATAATTATATGGTAATGTGAAAGGTCAAATTATTTTGTGGTTTGAAAACTGTCCAGAGAGGTAAAGAGAGAATATAAGGACTGAAATTGGTAACTGAAAATCCGCTATGGTTACTGTTAGACCTAGCAATATCACTCAATCTATGTGCCAACTAGATCTCTCACCTAATTTTTGACCTATAAGTCAAGTTTTCGCCTAGTAAATAAGTCAAGTTTTTGCCTAGTAAATATTGACATCTTGCTTCTAATGAAAATTTGATACACTGAGCAATTATTAGTGGCTGTAAGATTCTTAACTAATGCAACAATTTACAGGCCGAAGTTGAACAAATGCGAGCTCAAGCTCACGCAAAGATGGTGAAAAAGATAGCAATGGCACGACAAAGATCAGAAGAGAAAAGGGCAGCAGCTGAAGCGAGAAAAAATAGAGATGCAGAAAAAACAGCAGCGCAAGCAGAATATATTCGACAAACAGGACGGATGCCATCAACGCATTTCACATGTTGTGGTTGGTTGTGATAAAACTGGAAACAATGAATAAAAGAAAAGTGCTCATACATTCATGGAGCTTATGGTCCAAGAAGTGGTTGTCATGTATTCTACAAAATGACCTGAGTTTGCATTGTTGATCTTTGATAAAGAAATATATAAAGGGTTGTGCTAAAATCTTAATCTTCTTTATCTTTTAATTTAATGAAAAAAACCACAGATGAAAAATACCCTAATGTGCTTTTGATTATTCATTGGTAGCTTGTTTTGAATTAATTATGAAAGGAGGAGCTCATTTAACGANGCAGTAGGAAGCTTAGAACTCACCTTGGCACTGCCAGTCTTCCTTCTAATCCCCAAATCAAATTGTCGATTTCTTTCATGCATTTGCTACCACTTTTCCCCAATATACAATAGTAAAAATTATGAGAATCAAAGATGGCTAGAGTGAAATACTTCTAGCCAATTTCATTGATTAGATAGTGAAACATGGCATTACAAATAGTTTCATAAACCATCGACGACTTTCTAAAAATGATCATTAGCACATTCTTCTGGGAAAAAAAGAATTGCATTTATTCCACCATTATGAATGATACGCATATTTTGCATATGGTACGTTCAAAGAATAGAACGCGATTGAGTGGCTGATAATGCTAGACAAAAAAATCCTTCATCATAATGCATTAATGTTCACAAAACTGCTGTCTACTACGTAGTCTGCCCCATTGAAATGAAAAGTCATTGATAGAAAATCATCAAAATTTGGTCCATTCATATAGCAAACTGTATGGGCCAAAAATCGTATTGGGTCTGACGGGCCGAATAACGAAGTAAGCATATTACGGCCCAATGCCTTAGCCCAATTCCGGTTGAGTCTACACTTAAATCCAACTTGTGAATTGCCCACTCTATGAGTTGGGCTATTCTACAAGTTAAGCTAAATCGTGCTCCAACCCATTAGCCCACAATAGTCCATAATAGGAATCAGAATCCTATTCAGTTTCCACGTCTGTCAAGATCCTAAATCTTACTTAAAGTGGTAAGCCTAATCGGATAAAGGCAAGAGATCACATTTCCCTCCTAACTAGAATTCATCTACCAAGTAGGGCTTAGAGTCTTATATACTAGGATTCTAACCCCTTAGATTCACTACATAAATAGAGGCAAACCCTCTCATTAGTCATTCAGAAATCACACACTAGCTCCTAAATTTTTGCTCTCAAGAATCACTGTCTTTCCTTGCTGTGAAGCCTAGTTCTAACTAACTTCACCACCCTAGTCATCACAAAGTCGTGCTCTGACCACTTTGTGTTGGCTTTGCCTTATCCACATTACGGTAAACCCTTTCCTGCTCTCAACCCTCGCTAAATTTGCCTTCAACCGTGCTGACGTGAGCATTGGAATGCCTACGGCAGACACCACATCGGTGTCACCTAAGCCTTCACGTTCTCTTTCCCTCTCGGTGCAAGTTCTTCAAATTGTCAGTGGCTCGCATCACATAAGATCCATCCCTTTCCGAATCAACTGTAGATTTTACCATCTACAGTTTGGTGCCCACCGTGGGGCCTTGACAATTATTCCACTCAAAACGACCTACTCATTTCACTCTCTTCTCTCCGTTCAGCCATCATGACTGAAAAGACCAAAACCTTCGCGCCTGACATCGCCACTCAGATTGCGGCTCTCACCACACTTGTGAAAGAGAGCACTGACAAGTACCAAGCGTTGGAAGCTCAAAACGCCACCATCTATATAGAAAATCAAACCCTTCAAGACAAGGTAAGCCAATTATACTCCCTAGATTGGACATTAAGTCAACAACTTGCCTCTTCCTCTCAGCTCCCCATTCTCCCCAGACAACTATTCTCTACCTTGGATCATGGCACCCTCACTAACCATTCCTTCCACTTGGCTCCAATCACCACTATACCCCTAGCCGAGCCGACCCAAGTAGATGACACTCCACCCATCACCCACTAAACAACTAAAACACTTACTCAAACTGCCCCACTACAGTAACTAAACACTCCTTTCACCCTCCACAAACACATCCCATGAATTCAATAGCCGACACCGCCCACCAAATAATCCCACTTCGCTCTGCTTGACCATAACATCAACCCCAATGTATTCCCTCACTTCTTAAACAACGTATACACCCCCGTGGCAACCCCCCTTGAGCAAGCCTTAACCAAGCGACTATCCGAGATGGAGTCTATGATCCAATGTATCCCAAGCATGCCCATTCCCCTCAAAAAGAGCCAACCCCAAAGTTATGCTAACTCACCCTTTATAGACACCATAGCACTCATGGAGATGCTTCGCAAATTTACCTTCCCCAACATGAAACTCTATGATGGAACCACTGATCCTAACGACCACATAGCTTTTTACAAAAAAANGGTGAGCCATTTGGAGAATAATAGACAGATTTTTGGCTACTAAACGCAAATCGTGGGCTCTCAGTTTGAAGGTGGTTCAAAAGGGTAACATCACAGTTGGGCACATGTGACTACAGACAGGCCACCAAAGGAAAAATATAAGACAAAGTATCATGAGCCGATTGTTGATTATTCAATGGGATGCAATGATTAGTCCCCTTCTCTCGCTAGCTATAAGGGGTAGAAGGAATTTGGAGATTTGCTTGGTTGGGTCGTTCATAGAGAAGAAACCCCTACTCCATGCAATATAATATTTGGCAATGAAAATGTGGAAGAAATATGGAGTTAAGGAGGTTATGATGAATGACAAAGGGTTCTTCTTCTTTAAATTCGGGATCAAGGCAACTATGTTGCAATGCTTGGAGGATGGGTCTTGGCTATTCTAGAAAGGCCTATTTTTACTATAAAAATGGCAGTCGGAGATGGAGCTTAACAACGAGTCACCTTGATTCATGCCATTGTGGGTGAAGTTTTATGATGTTTTGTTGGAATTTTCGAGTCTTGATTGTTAGAGTAGGTACCCTAGAGCCAATCAATTATTGTAGAATTGACTCTTTGTAATAATGTTTATTAATCAATGAAAGGTGTTTTCTACTATATCATGTAAATCATAATTGTATGTATTGATATATGTCCTTAGGATGGTAGAACTGTGACAAGAGCATCCAGTGTTTCAAATCTCAATAGTGAGAATCCTATGATCACATATGGTAACCCTTCTAGAAATGTCCATAGCCCCAGTGTTATTCTGACCAAGGACACAGATAATACGGTAAGGCTATTATAGTATTGAACGACCCTGTCGAAAGACAGTGACTGATCTCAGTTATCAAGGTTGTTTGCCGACAACTTGGTGCTACACATGGGTGCTTGCTGTAGGCAAGTTCATTGGACAGACCCACCAAATGATTCTATATGGATGGAAACTCTAGTGTCTATGGAATAAATCCTCTAACGAATGGTGTTGCATTTCATCTTTAGACTTGAGATCACCGGAGCACCTTGTGCATCGATTGATGTAGTTTGACACTAGCCCAACGTAGTTTCTTTTAGAGCTATCAATACAATAGTGATTGGCTACATCGAGGAGTGTATCAAGGCTATGGTGGATCGACAAAGGATTCATCACTCCCGGGTACGGGAGGAGTTATCTCACGACGCAGTTCAGTAAATGGCAATGACACTAAAGCTCTGGCCATAGTGGGATTGAGTTGTTGCTCAATTTAATTTATTATTCTGGTCATTGGTCCAGTAACTAATTACAAAGATATCGAGGATAACTGAGGTTGACACTATTTCTGTACCTCAGCCTCGATAAGATAATAGATGATGAAAGGATTTGATTGCAAAGTAACCATATCGTTGATAAGTGTTGCGTTGTAACTACAACATGCATAAATAGCAAGTGCACTAGTCGTACAAAGTAATAAAGTGATGAGTGAGTATCGTTCCTACGAGGATTGGTTGTTAAGCATTAAAATTCCTAGCTGTTTTCAAGTTGGAGGAACCGAATGTGTTTGGATTAATGGGAGAGATTAAATCTAAAACTAAAACAAAACTTACTAAGTATTAAAGACTAATTAATGAAAGCAAGAATTTAAACGCAAGAATAATATCAATTTAACAAACGGTTAGGGTTTTGACTTCATTTGGACTTTATGGATGAATTCTACGAACTATGTTAATTCCACATTCACATGCACAAATTGTAAATCGAATTCTCTAAGTTGTCAAACATACCTTCTCAGGCTATGAATTCCTACTTTTCCTTATTAAACTTCCGCACCCAACAATTTAAAGAATAATAGATTCAGGTTCACACTACAAGAAATATATTATATCGTGACAAAATTAATTTTATCAAAAGCTATTTCGTCACAAGTAATATAGGTATTATGACAAAATAAAAAAAACATCACATTAAGTATGACAAAAGGAATATATAGTGACTAAAACAAATATTGTCATAGTATTTTATCACAATAAAGAAATCCATAAGAAATATATTGAAAAAAAAATAATTTTATCATAATATTTCGTCACAAATTTTTGGCGCCAAATTTTGGCACCTAGGTAAATTGTTTATTGTGATAAACATATTTTGTCATAAAACATTTTAGTCACTATATTTAGTTATATATGCTATAACTACAAATTATTTTGTCACAAAATAATTTATTTATTGCTACAAAAGTAAATTGTCATGATATATACTGAAATTGAGGTATTAATGACAAAATGTTTAAGTCAAAATTTAAGTGCCGAGATAAATTGTTTATCGTGGCAAACCATATTTGTCATTAAAAACTTTAGTCATTATATTTAGTAATACATGCTATAATTACAAACTAATTTGTCACAAAAGAATTATTTATCATTACAATATATATATATATTGTTAAAATCAAGGTATTAATGACAAAATATTTGGGTCAAATTAAATGTGATATTTTGTGACAAAAATTTGCTAAAAAAACATACTTAATATGTATATAACTATTTGTCATTCCTCTCAAGTTTTTAGCAATAACATATATGTCATTTAAAAAAAATCATTAATAATTTTAGCATATATGTCACTAAAAAAAACTTATTAACTCATAGGATTGGGTATGAAAGACGTTGTTGATAAATCTGTGACTGAACGAAAAACTGAAAAAAAAAACTGTTGAAAATGTGTGATTGTATTTCTCTCTTGAAGAAGACGAAGACCAACTCTTTTATAGTTGGTGAAAAAACAATGAAGAAACGCAGCGTTTTGAACACACAGAATTAAACAAAACGCTGTATTTGATTTTTCTTTGGACTATTACAGTAAACCC